GACAGCACCTAGCAACAGGTTTAGAAAAGAGGTTCTCAAATCAATCACGTCAGCTTCCACCTTAAGAAGCCAGAGAAAGAAGAGAAAATGCAACACAGAGCATGAAGAAAGAACAAAATTCTGATGATTAGAGCAAACAACAGAAATTGACGGTTCAAAGACAGAAAAGCATTAGGGGAAAATCAGTACAGAGGGAAGATGCTGAACAGAATTCCAAGTTCTCGTGGTCTGTAGACTTTCTGGAACTGTAGAGGGTAGATGAACCCCTGTAACAATTGCCCTGAGAAAATCTTTAAACCTTAAGCCAAAATATCCCCTAAGTAAAATCAACAATAGCTTAGCTTAACTTGTGAAAAAGGTCTACTTTGAGTATTATGTTCTCTTAAGAACTACCTATGTAGGGTCAACTTGACAACAAAATGCGAAAGAGGAACCTTAGGGAGCAGTGAGTTTATGTCAACGAGGGACGAGCACTCAGCACGTGAGAGCAGGAATTGTCGCACAGCTCGAAAGTCATCAATGTCCCTGGCTGGCACCTGTGGGGACTCTGGAGCTGATGTATTGCAGCTGCGTAAATCCCCACAACAACCACAGAACTGAAGAAATGCATGTCCTAGCCCTGATACCTCTCTCCAGGACTCTGTTTGGAAGGAGGTTTGTCCCTAATGTTAATGAGTTTTGTTATGTTAAGGATACATCGGAGTAGGATGAGCCCTAAATCTAATCCCTTCTGAGTGACTTTGTATAAAGGGATGTACAGAAACAATAAAGGAGTTTTGAAAACAACAGATAAGTGTTTGACTGTTAACTGAATGGGTGGCAATTCAAACCCACAAGCGGCTTGCAAAAGTAAAAGACCACGCGATCTGCTCCTATAAAGAGGACCGCCTTCAAAACAGCATGGGGGCAATTCTCCTCTGCCATGCAGGATTGCCACGGGGCGGACACAACAAGAATGGCACACAAAGAGGGGCTCCACACAAGGGAAAGACAAGTACCAGGTGACTATGCTCACACAAGCAGTGAAGGCGTGCCGAAGAACACCAGGGTACCAACTAGGAGGGGCTCCTCCCTGGAGCCAATGCCCTGATTCGAGCTCCTAGTCACCAAGACCGTGCAACAATAAATTCGATCTTCTAAAGCTATAAAGAGACAGAAAAAAAGAAAAAGAAAAACCACAAAATCAAATGAAAAGCTGCTTTGGGGGGCGGGGTAAAGAAAGAGTAAACTTAATGGACTGCCCGTGTACTCATTCATTTAAATGTTGCAACCACTCTCGGAGGTGAATAGTATTTTATTTCTAGTTCATAGATAAGGAAATTGAGGCTCAGAAATATTAAGCACCTTGCTGATGACCAAGCAAGTTGCACACCCAAGTGTAAGGCAACCATCTGGTCCGGTTGACCTGACCCTGGCTCAGTTTTAAAATTGGAAGCTCCTCAATCCCAGGTTGCTCACTCTACCCCACATCTCTTGGACCCAGAACCTGTTTCACGGTATCGTGAGTAATGGAGTGAACCCATTGATTTTAAATGAAATACAAATCCATTATTAAAACACCGTCGTGGTGTTTCTGTCTCTCTCACCTGCGCAGAAGGCAGAGCCGTCATAAATGTTGGAGGTCTCCCTAAAAGGGCTGTCTGTGCCGCTCACATCATGGTGGTCCCTGCTCAGGACCACTGGAGCCTGCAGCATAAAAGAATGGGAGATGTCAGCCAATGGCATCCACAGCAGCTGTCCTGGCGGGCGTGGGTCAGACATCAGGTCCCCCAGAGGCTCCTTGGGTCCCTCCCTTTGGAAAACAAACCTTCGTCAATAAGATGCTAGAGTGCTGTCATCAGTATGAAAATTAGTTCATATGGGCAGATGCATATATAATAAGGTGACCAGGTGTCCCACTTTTGGTGGGACGGTCCCGATTTTTAACAATTTTTCCCCACGTCCCGTGGCATTTTTAAAAAGTCCCAATTTTTGGAAAGAATGCACGACAAGCTAGGGTATATGGTTTTCGGCTGCCATGTGGCTATTTCGCCAGGATATGAGTTTTATCAATGGTGTCTCGCTTTACCAATGTTAAAATCTGGTCACCTTAATATATATATTTCCAAGAAAAGGGTGGTTGCTCAGGTAGATGCCCCAATCTTCTTCAGACAATGCAGCTTCTCTGATAACTTGTTCAGCCTACCCATTGGATAAAGATGTGAGAGGATGCAACCCTGGTGGGCACCATTTCTGATTAAAACCATCCAATTTCCCTTGTTATGTTTGAATAACTGCCTCTTGATCCAGGTATAGATTCCACGTGAGCGTGATGAACTGTTCTGGAATTCCCACTTTTTCAATGCTATCCAGAGTTTGTTGTGAACCATATAGTAGAATGCCTTTGCCTGGTCAATGAAACACAAGTAAGCATCTTTCTGGCATTCTGTGGGCCAAGATCCCTCTGACATCAGCAATGCTGTCTCTTGTTCCATCTTCGCTTCTGCATCCAGCTTGAATTTCTGGCAACTCCTTGTTGATGTAGTGCTGCAGCTGTTGTCGAATTATCTTTAACAACATTTTACCTGCATGGGATATTAATGATATTGTGGTACAATGGGTGCGCTCTATTGGATCACCTTTCTTTGAAATGAGCACAAATAAGGATTTCTTCCAGGAGGTTGGCTAGGTAGCTGTCTTCCGAATTTCGTGCCGTAGTTGAGTGAGTTCTTCCAGCGCTTTATGAGCTCGTTGAAACATTTCAATGGATATTCTGTCAATTACTGGAGCCTTGTTTTTGGCTAATTCCTTAAGTGCAGCTTGAAGGTCTTCCTTCACGACCATTGGTTCTTGATTATACGCTACCTCTTAAACTGGTTGAATGTCAACCAGTTCTTTTTGGTACAGTGGCTCTCTGTATCCTTTCCATCTTCTTTTGATGCTTTCTGCATATATTAATATTTTGCCCATCAACTCCAATATTGCAACTTAAGGCTTGAATTTTTTCCCTTCACTTTGATATATCCTGAGCATCTTCTTCCTTTTGGGTTTTCCAACTCCAGCTCTTTGCACATAACTTTGAAAAGGTTTCTGTTCAGCTTTTTCACTCCGTCATTTCTTCCATTTGCCTTAGCTACTGGATCAAGAGCAAGCTTCAAAGTCTATTCTGACAACGACTTTGATCTTTTCTCTCTTCCTTTCTGCTTGTCTTCTTAATGACCTCTTGCTTTCTTCATGCAGGATGTTCCCTATGTCATCCTACAACTAGACAGGTCTTCTGTCAGTAGTGCTCCACGAGTCAAATCTCTTCTTGACATGTTCTCTCAATGCGGGTGGGATAGACTCAAGGTCATCATTTGGCCCTCATGGACCTCTTTTCATTTACTTCAGCTTCAACCAGAACTTACATATGAGGTGCTATGACAGCAATGCTGTGTCCTCGCGTCCAGGGCATGGCCCAGGGCAGCTAAGTGTTGCTGAACGAGAAGATAATGGAAATGATGACCTTCTCTCCACCCTGCTGATAGGCAAACCTTAGCCCAGACCCAGACGTGAGTGAGCCTGGGGGGTGGTCGTAGGACTCCACAAGCCACAGAAGGGTAAGGTCAATGTCTCTGCTGCTAAGGCCCCTAGGCTCCCACAGGGGGTGCATGTCTTCACTCTCACGTGCTTCAATTTCTTTGTCATAATTGATCTTTAACATTCCTGACTCATCCATGCCAAGACATGCACAGGACCAAAGCAAGAACCCACATGAGAGAGGATCAAGGCATTCATGGTGTGCCAGGTTCTATATCCCGGAGGGTTTGGGGTAGGCCCAAAGGACAATGGGAAAAACCGGCAATGTTTGGCATGATTTTGAAAAAGGTAATTTTAAAAGAGGATGGATTAACTTTTTTTTTTCTTTCTTCTCTTTCCTTCACTGAAGAGAAAAGCCATGTCAGAGCCTAGATTAGAGATGAGGTCTCATCACTCAGTAAACACCAGCCACACGACCAACCCAGCCACTCCCCTGCACACAGATACACAGCAGTGCCCACCCCACCATCTCACCCCCCGAGGAGGAACCTATCCCTTTGTTGTCTCTTTCCCACCCCCTCCCAGGTCACCTCACATCATTCCCTTCCCAACTGGAGCCTGGAGGGAAGTGGGAAGCCTATGTCCCTAAAATGAAGCCGTTTAGGCCTCAGTCGGGGGAGTGCTCACCCACTGCTCTGGAGCCATGAGGGACAGCCCCATGTCCTAGCCAGGATAGGCCGTACCAAGGGGGAGGGCTAGGCAGCCCAGGACACTTTACCTTGATCTTCCCATGGGCGATGGCATTGTTTATGGCCACCGCGATGGCCACACGGCCCTTCTGGTCAGAGTACAGGATCCTGGCCTGGGAGCCCACCACCTGCCAAAAGAGGTTTGAGTTCCAGAATGTGGAATGCAGGGAGAGAAGCAACCCTCTCTGGACCCCCAAGACCCGGTGCTCAGCCAGCAGCCATCTGGTCCCGAGGAAGCTCTCGGTGGACATTACAGCCCTAAGCCCTTCTGGCTTGCGACAGTCCCTGATCCCCAGCCCACCTGACAGCCTCACCAGCTCTCCCAAGTGTCCACATGCCTCTGCCCCCACAGGACCCTCCACAGTCCCTCACCTAAGGGCTCCCCCTGAAGGAGCCTCTAAAACTGGCTCCGTCTGGCTGTAGGCATGATACATATAATGAGCGGGGCTCTGACCCCCTGTCACAATGGTATCTCCACACCCAAAGCCAGCGCTCCTCTCTCTGGGTAACGTGGAGCCAGCCCTCAGCTGTGAGTGCTTGAGAGGGACACCGCTGCCATCATCACAGGCTCCACTTCACAGAGAGGCTGAGCAAGGCCGCCTCTGTCGCCCAGGGCCAGACGACCTAGTCAGGACTCAGGCTGGTGATATCTGTCCTCGGCACGTGATTACGGTCGAAGGACCTCAAGGGGGTAACGGGTGGTGGTGGTTCCCCGGAAAGGAGGGCTCCAGGAACAGAAGAAGAATCACTGGGAAGCCCAGCAGTTCTCAATCAGGATGTCTGGGCGATGGCTGAAGGCATTTTGCGGTGTTGCCATCCTGAGTGGAGGCCAGGGGTGCTGCTACACCTCCGACATGGGTCCCACAGCCAAGACTGCTGCGGCCTGAGATGCCAGCAGTCCTGAGGCTGAGAAGCCCTGCGTTCCACCAAAGCAGGTGGGTGTCGACTCCAGGAGCCTATTCTGGGAGAGGGGCGAAGGTCTGGGAGACCAGCAAGTGCATGGGCCTTTTGCCCCGCTGAGCAAAGCAGCGCTCAGCGCTCAGCCTCACTGCGCCCCTGGGCTTGCTCTCACGGATGCGCCCTTATTCCCCATGTCAGCCGCCTCAAATCCTTCAGGGGAAATGGCCTCTCCTCTAAATTGGAGTAACAGATATCCTCAACCGAGAAGAAGCTGCGGAGGCACTGGTAGAGGACTGCCAGCTGGGTCAAGCTGTACCCGAAGCTAAGTGAAATGGAGCAGAGTTTTCACGTGGGACTACCTTCTGGGATGGCCATCATGTCTTCTTTTTTTTTGACTTGGTATGGCCTTTTATTTTTTATCATTTTATTGGGGGCTCGTACAACTCATCACAATCCATGCATCCATGCACTGTGTCAAGCACATCTGTACATTTGTTGCCCTCGTCATTCTCAAAACATTCTCTTGCTACTTGAGCCTTTAGTATCAGCTCCTCATTTCACCCCTCCCTCCTCTACCCTCCCTCCCTCATGAACCCCTGATAATGTATAAATTATGTTTTTTTTCATGTCTTACACTGACTGATGTCTCCTTTCACCCACTTTTCTGTTGTCCCCCAGGAGGGGGTTATAGGTAGATCATGGTGATTGGTTCCCACTTTTTCCCCACACCTTCCCCTTACATTCCTGGTATCGCTACTCATAATATCAGTCCTGAGGGGGTTATCTGTCCTGAATTCCCTGCGTTTCCAACCCTTATCTGTACCCGTGTACATGCTCTGATCTAGCCAGATTTGTAAGGTAGAATTGGGGTCACGATAATTGGTGGGGGAGGAAGCATTAAAGAACTAGAGGAAAGTTGCATGTTTCATTGGGGCTATACTGCACCGACTGGCTCGTCTTCTCCCTGCGACCCTTCTGTAAGAGGATGTCCAATTGCCTACAGGAGGGCTTTGGGCCTCTACTCTGCACTCCCCCTCATTCAATGATATGAATTTTTTGTCCTAGGTCTTTGATGCCTGATACCTGATCCCATCAACACCTTGTGATCACATGGGCTGGTGTGCTTCTTCCATGTGGGCTTTGTTGCTTCTCAGCTAGATGGCTGCTTGTTTATCTTCAAGCCTTTAAGACTGAAGATGCTGTATTTTTTGATAGCTGGGCGCCATCAACTTCCTTCACCACATTTGCTTATGCATACACTGTCTTCAGCAATCGTGTCTGGAAGGTGCACATCATGGAATGCCAATTTAATAGAACAAAGTGTTCTTGTGTTGAGGGAGTACTTGAGTAGAGGGCTGGCCATCATTTCAAAGGAGAGAAGCCACCGCAATACATAGATCAAGGACAATCTCCGAAAAGCTTTAGCTCACAAATAGGATGCGGGATCTGCCCACCTGCCTGCAGCAGAGTCTGGCTGCCTCTCCGCATACGCTCACCCTTCCACTCTCTGAAGCACCAGTCTCACTGGGGCCTTCCCTCGAGGCTTTGCTGGTCTCCCCCCACGTCCCACTCCCAGGGCCCCTCATCCACTGGGGCTGACCTGAGGTCTGTCTCTATCTCTAGCCCCCACTTTCCCTTGACCCATTGGACTTGAGTTATTTTGAACTCAACGTGGTCCAAGAAACTTTTGTTGGCACAGGGGTTCTGTATTTGAAACTTGCATGCAAACCACTGCTCATGTGGCAGGAGTGTGAGTGGAGGTTGCATGAGTACAGAGGTGTAGGCAGGTGTGGGCAGTCCACTTCTGGCCTCTGGCCACCAGAATTGGAGGCCGAAAACACAGGAATCACATATCCTCTTTGTCTTTTGTTCTTCTAGGCACCAAGTCCACCCCATCACCCTCAGGGCTTTTGCATCTGCCACGTCCTCTGATGGTCACATGGCCGCCTCTCTCTCAGTATCCAGAACTTAATCTGAAAGACAACTCGAAGAAGTTTATTTGGACCATCTCTCATAAAGCAGCGTCAAGCCCACATCTCCCTGGCTTTTTCTCCTCATCCTACGTCTGCCCATAGAAACTAGACAGGGACCTGCCTGTCGATGCAACAGGACAGCCAGCACAGTGCCCGGTCCACAGAAAATGCCATTGAAGGACCCATTCAATCCTGCCCATGGTGCAAGGACTTTCGAGTGGCCATCTCCTCTCAGAGGCAGCTTGTGGGATCAGAAAGGCTCAGCCACTCGCCCAAGGTCAACTAGCTGGGGACATGGTGGAGCAGTCTAAACTCAGGCAGCTCGGCTCCAGAACCTACCATGAGGCTCCCAGCACAAGGCTGCCCCTTGGGAAAGTGTTTGTGGAGTAACAGAGGAAGCGTGACTTGGCTGGCTTGACCTGCCCCTGAGCCCCGAAGCCCCTTTGCCTTCTGAAGGGCCCCGGGAAAGATGCTGCTACAAGTCTTCCTAGAGGTGGGGGTCAGAGGACTGTGAATTCACTAAGGGTCTGTGTCCAACCCTTTCAAGGCTTAAGACTGAGGTCCCTGAGCCCAGGCCAATGGCAAACTCCTTTGAGGGTCCGATGCAGGCAGTAGTCACCAGACAGCGACAGCCTCAACCCTGCCCCTGAAGCCCATCATCAGCAATCAGCCAGGCATGGAGCTTCTCACCAGTTGGTGCTTGGCAGCCTCTTTGATCCAGCGGATGTTGTCCATATACTGCAGCCTCACGGAGGAGCTCACTGCAGGTGGAAAAGGGAGAGGATTCCCAGGGTCCATGCTCCCCACGGGTGCAGATCTCCCCTCATGCAGACCAGGAGTCAGAGAACCCCATGCCAGCACTGGGCCACCCCCATTGTTCTCTGATTTGACCTGTGCAGGAGGAAAGGGGCTTGCAGGGGGGATTTGAGAGGTGCTAAGCAAGGAAAGAGGATGGGCGAATCCCTTAGAAGAGATAGGAGTCTTAGTCTTGGTGTTGGCTCTGGGCTAGCTGGGGCCTCTACTCTTGGGGTGTCCCTTGAGGAAGTATCGGCAGAGCCTGAGGGGGTGAGCAGTGTTCTGTGGAAAGAGGGGTGACAGCTACTCTGAAGCGGGTCAGATGCAGGCTCAGAAAGGAGAGGGAAGGTACCGGGTACAGGCAGCACTGTGAGACTCGAAAAGTCAATCAGCAATGAGGTGGGCCAACAGGAGACAGCCATTCACATCCTTGTTTACAGGATGAAGCAGGCCCCTGAACACTCGATTCCAGCCCCACGATATGGAGCTGGGACCGGATCCCCTGCCTGGGGCTTCACATAGTCCTCACTCTGGGAACAAATAAGATCAACGGTCACAAGAAATACTTGTAATTTACACACTATGTAGCTCAGTGCTGATGCATTTATCCCCCCTCAGTAAATACTTGCCAAGCTGACTGTATGCAGACACCAGGCTAGGCAGGCATTGGGGAACAATTAATGCTCCATGCTATGCAGATAGTAAGAGTGGGGTGAGACAGTAGTGACCAGGAGGGGTGAGCCAGGGGACCAAGGAGCAGTGTGCTTGTAAAATGCCTCCTGAGGTCACCTCTGGTTTGGGACTAGCTCTAGGGAGGGAAGCCTTGGGCACGGTGAGAACCTTGATGGGGGCTGTGACAGAGCCATAATGGGGGCTGTCTTGGGGGGCCATGATGGGATCCTGAGGAAGGTTGTGAGGAAGGTTGTAATGGGGCTCTGGTTCGGACATGATTGAGGGTGTGTTGGAGCATGATGAATTAGGGCGTGATGGGGGCCATGCAGGACCACAATGAAAGGGGTGAGAGGAGTTGTAATTGGGGCATGATGGGACATTGGTGGCTGTGATGGTCTCCATGATGTGTGCCATGATGGAGTCATGATGGAGCCATGATGGGGGAAGTGATGCAGGCTGTATGGGGACCAGTACATGGGTCTAGGATGAGGGCTGTGATGGAACAGGGGTGAGGGTTGTGAAGGGGTACAAAGGTGCCTACAATGACATAGTGCTGTGGGCCATGATGGGGCCATGATGGGAGTGTGATGGAGCTGTGGTT